CGGCTCCGGGCGCTGCGCGAGGCGTCGGGGCGGGGAGCCAGCAGCCGCCAGGTGCGTCCAAAACCCCAGCCCGGCCCCGCCCCCGCCGCCAGGCTCGCCCCTTTAACCCCTTGCTCGCCGCCTCTGGTCCAGCCTCGACCAGTTCGTAAACTGCCGCGTTCACTTCACCCACAAGGACACTGAGGCTGGGGTCAGCGAGATGGCTCCGCCAGAACCAGCCAAGACGGCCGCGCCTTTCTTCCCCGGGGAGAGCCACCTGCTGGGAACTCCCCCCGCACCCTCCAAGGCTGTGACCGCTCCTCTGGGACCTCCTGGCTGGTAGCTTCAGCGCCTCGGGATAAACTGGTGGTGGCTCGCCGAGTGGACCACTCTCCCAGGTGTTTCCAGGCGCTGTGTGTCCTTGGCCGAGCTCCTGCGCCTCTCTGGCAATCTCTCGGTAAAAAGGGCTCAGCATCCCTGCGCAGCGACTCCTGAAAAACCCCCGGAGACCCAGCACCAAGGAGGGGAGGGGTGAACTGTGGGTGCGCGGGGGAAGGGGGCGTCCTGTTTACCGTTATTGATGCCGTTTTCACTTCTGAACGAACATAGCTTAGAAGATCGCTGAGCTTCAATTGCCTCATTTGTAATGTGGAGATATGGAGGGACCTCACCTCACAGAGCTGTTGTGGGAATAAATGAAATATTGCATGGAAAGCCCCTGGCACGAGAGTGAGAGGAGTGGGGTCATTGAGAAGGTGGGAGATGATGTTGGGGTTACTGTTTTATTATTCCACGTGCACCCTTAAACCCTCATGCACACACACACAAACACACACACACACACACACACACACACGCCCTCGGCCACAGAGGCTTGTACAGATAGTTCATTTATTTAATCATCAACCAATGTTCACTGAGCACCTATATATCAAGCCCTATCCCAGGACCTGGGGACACAGCAGGGAACAATATAGATGAGGCCTTCTTGGATCCCACTTTCTAGTGGGAGTGACAAGTAATAAACCAGGGAGGAAACATAACTTCAGATAGTGACAAATGCTGTGACTAACATAAAACAGGGGAATGTGACAGGAAGCGATTTTTAGATAGTGGGGTCAAGGAGGATCTTTCAGAGGAGATGGCAATTATGCAGAGACCTGAATCATGAGTAGGGACTAGCCTTGGAAATCTGGGGAAGAATTAAAGTGCAAAGGCCCTGAGGTTGGACTGAGCTAGACAGTTTGAAGAACAGAAAGAAGGTCGCTGGTGGGGCTGGAACAGAGGCAGTGAGGGTAAGATTGGACCTGTGGGCAGGGGCCAGACCACACAAGGCTATTTAGATGACTGCACTAGTGTCCTTTGGCAGCTGTAACTAGTTACCACAAACTTGGCTTAGAACAATAGAAATGGAGGCCGAAGTCTCAAGCCAGTTTCACTGAGCCATCAAGGTGTCTTCAGGACCAAGCTCCCTCTGGAGGCTCTAGGGGAGAATCCCTTCCTTGCCCTTCAAGCTTCTGATGGTGGCTACTAGCGTTCCTTGACTTGTGACCTCACTACCCTATCTCTACCTCCAAGGTCACATTGCTTCCTCCTCTTCTGTATGTATAAAATCTCTCTTATAAGAAAAACTGTGGTTGGATTAGGGCCTACCCAGATAAGCCAGGGTAATCTCCCCAAGTAGAGAATATTAATTTAAACTTGCTACAAGTCAATTCGTTGGATTAGGGCCTACCCAGATAAGCCAGGGTAATCTCCCCAAGTAGAGAATATTAATTTAGTCATTTAATTTGCAAAGATCCTTTTTCTTTTTCTGGCAACTGACCGGTACAGGGATCCAAACCCTTAACCTCAGTGTTATCAGCACCGTGCTCTAACCAAGTGAGCTAACCAGCCAGCCCCCTTTTTCTTTATAAGGTAAAATTTACAGGTTTCAAGGATTAGGATCTGATTTATCTTTGGGTGGCCATTATTCAGCCTACCACAATGATGGAGGGGGTTAACATTTTAAGGTCAGGGGTTTTTTTGACATGGCAGTGACAAGCTGTGATGGGCACTTTGAAAATATCACTGGTTGCTGCTGGCTTAACCCTTTACCTACTCCAATGGATGTTCAGCTCCTTCCCACAGTGCACACAGGGACCCTTCCCTTCCCACCCCCCCACATACAGTAGATACTCTAGAAATGAAAATGCTTCTTGGTAGCTGCAAAATTGTTACCCAGAGACCAGCCTCTCTGCAGACCAGTCCAAGTGCAGAACAAAGCTCGGGTGAGCCCTTAATTTTATGATGACACAGAAAACAAGAAGATGATTGTTTCTGAGGCAGATTCTAAAACAGTAGTGTGTTTTTGTTTTTGTTTTGGTTTGGATCTTTTTTTGGTTAATCCCACTTTCATTCCTTTCAAATGACAGCAAGCAAGACTGAATCACTGCACTGTTTTTATTTTGACATTTTCTTCCAAACCAACTTTACTCAACCCCAGTCAGAAAAAGTGGGAAGGAACCTGTCCCCACACTGGAACCAGCTGCCCACCCAGAGTGTCTCCACTGGAACCACAGGAGCCCTGGATTCTTGGGATGGGGTGGGGAGACAGAGAGCTGAGCTGGGGACGAGGAGCCTATCCACTCCACCGATTGGTCTCTCCTCCCCAGGGTCTGAGCAGGCCATCTCCATACAGAATACTTGCAGCACATGTGTCAGTTCTCACTTCTGCAAAGGCTGCCTGTTCCAGCCAAAACCCCCACCAGGTGTTGGGCCTGTGCTCCCTTTGTGTGGGTTGGGGGCATACTGGAGAGGCAGTGGGAATCAGGCACTGAGCAAATGGTTAATGTGTACCTTAGGTGCACCAGGCACTGAAGACAGTGCTGTGAGCTGGGGTAGGGGCCCTACCCTCAGGGAGTCTAATGGGGGAGACAGACAGGATGTACAAGATGGAGCTCGGTGCTAACACCAAGGTCGAGGGTTCGAATTTGAGACCGGCCAGGAAAAAAAAAAAAAAAAAAAAAGCTGTACAAACCCACAGATAAACAGATACTCACCAATTGTGATCATGTTACCACAGAAAAAGCAGATGCCATGCAAGAGAATAATTCAGAGGACTGGAGGATATTACTTAGATAGCCAGGTTAGGGAAGAACATTTGAACAGAGGCCTGAAGGATGAATAAGAATCTATAAAAAGAAGAGCATTCCAGGCAGAGAAAACTACCATATGTGCAAAAGCCCTGAGACAGGAAAGACACTGGGGTCTTTGAGGAAGGATAGAAGACTATGAGCTGGGGGAATTAGGGAGAGATGAGGGTCAAGAGGCAGCCAAGGGCCAGATCACCTGAGTCTTAAGCTCTTGGTAATGGAGTGGATTTTATTATTAAAAACAGGCTGTGGGAGGATAGTTACACCATTTGATGTAGTTTTAAGAAATTCACAGAAAGGTTCCTGTGGGGTTCATCTAACAGCTTCCAGATGTCAACTGTGGGAGGTTGCTGATTACAATCAGCAAATATTGATTGAGCACTTTTCCACTTGGCCCTTTGCTCGGTGCTGTGGGGTTGGTTAGTTTTGATTTCTTTACTTTTAATTGCACAACTAATTTATTAATTTATTTCATTGCATATCACACATATATTTCCAAACCTGCATCCTCCTCTCTATTTAATCACTGCTAAGTGTTTGGCACGTCCTATCAGATCTTCCCCCCCCCCTTTTTTTTTGTGTTTTCACTAACAAATGTATATGTAGAAATTCAGAGACTTGCTTTGTGTGTAATTTTAATTTTTTTATTAGGTTTTTACCAAAAATAGGATTATGCTGTGTATATTGAAACTTGACTTTCACTTAATATGTCTTAGAAATTCTTCCATGATAGTACGTGGAGACTAGCTTCATTCTTTTTTACTGAGCGAGTAGTTAGTGTGTACCTGAGGTGCACCAGGCACCTAAACTTATGGTAATATTCCACAGAATGGCTATTCAATAATTGTTTATGCATTCCTCCCTTTGGTGGACATTTAAGTGGTTTCCAATAATTCCTCACTACAAGAAATATTATATAAGCATTTGCTATGGGTTAAATGTGTCCCCCAAAAGTTCATGTATTGGAAACTTGACCCACATTGTAAGTGTTCAGAGGGTAGGAAATCCAGTTATGGCATTTGAAAGGTAGGACCTGTAAGAAGTGATTAGATTGTGAGGACTATGCCCTAATGAATAGATTGATCAATTCACGGAGTGATGGGCTTGGTTCTGATGGCTTTATAAGGAGAGTGAATGAGGTTATCTTTCTTGCTCAGCCCATTTTCTCCATGTGATACCCTGCGCTGCTGTAGAGAGCCACCACCAAGAATAAGGCCTTC